TGTAAGAAGGCATGCATTCTATTTCATCAAAATAAATACTTTAAGCAAGTTAATTATGTGTAGCTTCGGGTATTCTATCATATCGTCATGAATAAAATGAAATGCATGGTATGCGTCAATATGAAAGCAAACCAACGACACAAAAAATCCAAGTTATAATAGACAGTAGCTATGTATATGTTTACTCTATATCGCCCCTTGTTTAGTAGAATTTGTCGTCAGTGGCACTGCTTTAATTGTGGTAAGTGCTTATCTTGGCCGAGTTTTATTGTGCATTCATCTCTGTGTGCAAATAGGAGAAAGCTAAGTACTCTTATTGACTAGTTCAATCTCGCCATATGTACACTAATTGACTAGTTTAATCCCGCCATAAGTATTTGAATTGACTAGTGCAATCCTGTCATAAATACTCTAATTGACTAAATCAATCCCGCCATTAGTACTCTAATTGACTAGTTCAATCTTGCCATATATACGTACTCTAATTGACTAGTTCAACCCGCCATAATACTCTTCTTAACTAGTTCAACTACGCCACATGCATAAAAATGTGCCTACACCTCGCCAACAACCAAGATCTTTTGCATTCTCTGTTAGCGTGGTATGATAAAGTTTCACTGTATTTGTCAGGTGATGGTTGATAAAATAATAAAAAAAAAAAAAAACAATGAGCCTGGTGAGTCTAGATAGTATAATTTATTATATACTAGTATCTCATAAAAATCCAGATAACGATACAATTTAGTGTTATATATATATCATTGCTGTTGAGGACAATTTTATTTTTGTTATTTATAAATTTTGTCGTATGTGATCTGTATAACTGCTGTTCTTTATTCGTTATTCGAAATTCAATATCCAACAGGCCGCCAGCAGTTCAATATTCAAAATTTTCCGTGTAAAAAATGATAATAACTGGATATTTAACAGAATTCTTAAAATGATAACCTTGTCAAAAAAGAACTCAATATCAAAATCTGTTTCTTACTCCTGCAGCCAATCGTACATTATCGTTATGCTCAAATATAACCTTTGTAGAGTTTATCAATCTTAAACGATAAAAATGAATCAAAAACATTATTCATTAAATAAACAAACATGAATTATATGGTTAAAAAAATTGACAATTTATTAACATGTGAAAACTATCCAAATATGGAAAACGACAATAGACGTTTTCAAAGCACATTTCATATTCATGATATATCGCAAAATACTTATGGAGGTCGCTTAAATGACAGTGAGACCTTCCTGATCTTTCAATGTCTGTAAAATTTAGGTTACAGTTAGGCTAGGCAAACATTTTATACTATCAAAGTATATCACTGAAAATTTCCGTTTTCGATATGTACGGGGGACTAAAAGTGTCAATTTGCAAAAAAAATAAAAATGAAAAATCAACGAACATCAATAGTAAGGGACCGGGTGTGTAAGATAGACCTCCCTAAGCCTTCAATCGTTACGAAATTCCTATTGATTTCATACGTATCTATCTCCGGTAGACTTTTGCTATATATTTTGAATATTAAACTAGCACTTTGAGTCTCGAACCGACTGCTAGCAGCCGGTTGGGTAATGGATATCAAATAACGAATAACGAACCGGGCCGCAGACTTCACATACATCTTTGGCAATTTAAAATTTGTCTATAACAACTTATGACATGTTTTTATTGTAATGTATTGCATCGAAGGAAATCGTGACCCTAAATGAATTAGTTTGTATTTGAAAGGTAATTTTATAAATTGGGTTTTTGTTTAGTATGCCCTTATAAACATTTTAATAGACACTAATGCAGTTGTCCAAATCTATCAATATATCAGGTTTAAACAGCATTAAAACATTTATCATTTATAGTTACATGTTAAAAATACTTCATTTTGTTGTTAGAACTTCAAAGGACAAACATGAAGATGTGGTTGGAATAGTTGGTTGAAGTTTCATTGACATATACTTGTACCACACATTTTCGCCGGAGTGTCTGGAAAAAAGGGGGGAATATACTATGGGGAAAATTAAAATCCAATTGTGTAAGAGAACACAATGACAAAAATGACGACCACACAAATACCGTATACACAATACGCTATACCGAAAACTAGAAAACTGAGAAACAAAAACTTAAAAAAAAAAACGGTAATAAAAGCAATATTAAATGCGTTGCAAATTAATAGTTAATTATTGGCAAATTCAGTTAGATTTAATTTACGCCAATTAATTTTTCATTATTTCATATTTCAATTTTTGAAATGAAATTTTTAAATACACGTAATTCGATTAATAAATGTAAGAAACCTTTATTCTCTCTGGTTGTTGGTGTTCCTATATGGTTGTTTTTCAATAGTTTATCAAAGCGTATTTCACAATTAATGTAGAAATAAGAAGATGTGATATGATTCCCAAATGAGACAACTCTCCATAAGAGACCAAATGAAAAAGACATTAACAACTATAGGTCACCGAACGTCAAACGTCTGTTATCTAGGCTTAATTTTTAAGTGTAACGGTAGATTTACCAAATGCCAGAAAAAAATTGATAGATCAAGCAGAAAAGGCACTCTATGCTCTTTACAGAAAAATTAGAAATTTATATATCCCTATTGATTTACAACTGAAATTAATTTCATGTTGTACGATGAAATTGGCAGATATCCATTGGAAAATAAAGTACGATTACCAATGTTATCATTCTGGTCAAAATTATTATTGAACAGCACAAAATTATCAGGATTATTATACCAATTTTTTTATAACACGCATAATTCTGGAAATTTTGTTTTTAAGTGGATTAATTTTATAAAATCTACATTAGAAAACACAGGTTTGAGTTGTGTATGGAACAATCAGTGTATTTTAAGATGTGTTGACATCAAAATATATGTGAAGCAAATTTTGCAAGACCAGTTCATTCAAAAGTGGTTTAGTGATGCTGAAAACTCCTCACAAGAGGTGGATATTATTTAATGTTTAAACACGCTTAGAAAATTACTTATTAAGAAAAGAGAAAATAGAATATATATATATAACCAAACTTATAAACAAGTCTAAATTGAAAACAACGTTCAAGCCTATGATTGCATTGGATAAAAACCGCAATTTTTATACGTGTGCATGCAAAGCAAATTTCTTGGTAGAGGGGTCTAAATACAGCGCAAACAACATTTTTCAAAAGACCAAAAGACTGAAAAAGTATATTTTAACAAAACGCATTTGACTAGCAGGTCGAACAACGGACGTTCTCAAACCCTGCTGACTGCCATTGGCGATTGCCAAATAAACGGATCACCAGATGTAACAAAATGGATCTTAACTATTAATTTAATACCAAACAGAAAACAATAAACTTGCGGAAAAGATGGTATACCGCAAACAAAAGGTGCAAATATTAGTACACAATATCCGGATTTCGACAATTAATGTCTCTTCAGTGATGTTAGGAATCGAAACGGTATTTGGAAGGCCATATAATTTACCTCAATTCAGGATAGACTCTTGAATTTTGAAGAGTCGAAATAGGATGAACGGATCATAAAAACCTGAAGGCAAATATGATACAAGCCCAAACGAAAAAATATAAACAAGTCTAAATTGAAAACAACCTATGATTGCGTTGGATAAAAACCGCAATTTTTATACGTGTGCATGCAAAACAAACTTAGATATTTAAATAACCAAACTTAGATATTCAAATATCAAAATTCCCATAGAAACTGGTCAATGGAATAACATTCCAAAATAAGAAAAAAAAAATTTCCTTGTGTAAAAATAATTGTATTGGAAATCAGTTTCATTACTTATTTGTATGTTGCAATGACGAGGTCACACAATTAAGACATAAATATATCCAAAATTACTATATTGTAAACCCTTCAGAATATAAAATGAAAGGTCAGCTGTTCCAGAGGCGGATCCAGCCATTTTTAAAAGGGGGGGTTGGGTTTTTAACCATATGTGCCCATTCAAAAGCATTGATCGTCAAAAAAGGGGGGTTCCAACCCCCGGACACCCCCCCTTTTTGGATCCGCCACTGCTTTATGTAATGTAAAAGTCTTGAATAACTTGTCAATTTTCACAAAAAAAATCTTATGAAATATCTATGATTATAGATATATTATCACCACTTACATTTGTTCGACTGGCGATCTTAAATCCCAGTTTTATAGTTCTGAATGATTTCCACGTGTTATTAATGTGTATACTTGTGTACAGAGAATTAGGTATAATGTACTATTACTCTAGGAAGTAACTGACATCATTATGTATATATTTCTTTCTATCTTGTTCGCCATTGTAAAATATTATTTGTATCATTTGTCTGCCTCTTGTTACAGTGTAAACTGTCTAGAATGTTAACAAAAATAAAAGTAATAAAGAGAGAATGTTGAATGCTTGGGCAGATACTAATCCAAACCAAACCTTCCTAGTATAGGAATATTTTCATGGTCGATATTTGCATGTTCCGAAGGCATACTGAATATTTACGAAAAGAACCAACATATGTTTCTCAAAGAAAACACTGTAAAAATCATAAGGTTTAAAAATTATAATCCAGTCAAAATCTCGTGTTACTAAGAAAATATTTGATTTAATAAAACATCTTTCACGAAAAGCTTTCCAAATTGTAGTTATTCTACCATTATTTTTGGTTTCGACGTACCGCTAAGAATTACAAACGATTTTTGTATTTTCCTTATCCCCCCTTTTCTTTTCCGTTTAATTTTCTTTCAAATATCTTACATATATATGTATATATATATATACTAAAAGAAAACACTTTTTTTTATCACTACGCCCCTTGGCAATAGCAATTGTACATACATGTACTGTAATAAATTTACCTATATAGCTTAGCTATGTACATAACAATAAGTCGAAAAGGTAGTATTCGCGTCGGTTCACTGGTTACGAGGTTTAATTTTAGCGCAAAGATTAGACGTTGTGTAGCACGAAGGACTTATATCGTCTGCTTTTATTTTTATCTAGGTCAGCTACACTATTTTGATATATAGAGCTATTTATCGCTTGATTATCCCGTGATAAGAGTATACTTGTATACTTAAACAAAGTTCACTGCAGTTCGTCAACGCCATTTTAGATTATTTAGCGAACGCAATTTTGTCACAATGGAAAAATTAATTTGACGCTGCTATTTTCTGGTTTAGCAAAAAATGACAAACATCAAAAGTATGCCGCTTAAAGAACTGCAAGAGATGGAAAATTTAAAACGGTTTAAAGAATCCCAAGATGTTAGAATTGACTGGAAAAGTATTCTAGATAGTGAAAGTTACAATATTGTTTTATCCCAGTGCGAAGAACTTTCGTGTGCTGCGGAACTAGTGCTGTTTCCGATGCTGATTTCTGTTGCTCATTTCATGGGTACCAAGGCAACCGTTAAAATCGATTCTGATTGGACAGAACCAACTTCTTTGATGTGTCTTTTAGTTGCAAGGCGGGGAGAACGCAAAACGTGTGCATTACAAAGAACTAAACAGTCTTGTGCCGTGTTGGAGAAAGAAATAAGAGCAATGGAACACTTAAATAGAGAAGGGGAAGGTTGTTCCGATGACAAAGTCATATCTCTGATTGATGAACACAACATTCAAACTGATTTAAATAAAACTTTGAAATGTTCAGATGGAAACCCTTTGATCATTATTGACGATTTCAAAGAAACTTTAGATGCCATTGAAAAATCTTCAGACATCTTCACGAATGCAAAACTTAAAGAAATATATGGATGCGGTATGGAAAACCCTTTTAGACGACACATGAACTTTGTTGGAACAATACAGGCGCTTGATGTTCACTGCGTTTTTGAAAACAGGGATCGAATTGCAATGTTTGACAGGGCATTGATAGTCTGCTGTAAGAACTTTGCAGAAAGCACAAAAGACACAACAGGGGAAACCAATTCTACGCAGACTATTTTGTCGTCGGTTAGAAATTTCCACAGCGTGCAAAGTGACCAGACTTATACATTTAATTCTGGTGGACAGGCCGAATTTTCTAGGTAAATATTTATTGATAAACACTTATGCAAGTACCTGTATCTGTGTGTGTCTCGTTACAGGTGACGTCAACATTGAATATAAAGGAAGCTTTCCTTATCTGGATTTTCGTTAAATCCTGATTAATTTTGATCCAGATAAATTCCTTAGAGGAAAAAATCTTCTGCATGTTAAACAATTATAAATAATCAAAAAAAGGATACCCTTTGGCGAGAAAAACTCTTTTATTTTAGGAAAACAGGTACATTTGACAACTATTTAAAGTTTGCAGTTTAATTTCAACTTCAAAAATAAAAATTGTTTATTCGGAATTTTCATAATAACGATTTTCTTTTAGAAAATAAGGTCATTGAATATATTTACAGTATCTACATGATTTATTGAAAGTTTACCTAATTGGTTATTTTTAAATCATGCCCCCCTCCAAAAAAAAGAAGGGGAAAATGACATGTTCCACATACATAAATATGAAAGCGAAAACAATTTCCTATCTACATCGATTTCACAGGACTCATTAATTGCACTTGATAATAATGTTTCCGGAAACTCAAAGTTTTCCATAATTTATTCACGTGATGGAGATATGTTACATGTATATGGATGATAAAAATTGTATGTTATCTTACAATCTCAAACAATTGACCTATTAGGAAATACTTCATACGATACTTGTAGTTGTATCCTTGAAATAGAAAAGTTTAAAACAAGTACGTCTTACATAGAAGTGTTATTATTTGTCAGCATATCAAAGATGATGTAATAAGCAGTGGTTGTTCCATACAGGAGGGCCTGGATTGGTGGTCGGCAGGCGCGGATCTAGTCATTTTGAAAAGGGGGTTCAAACCACCGTAACAACGTGAAAGTTCACATAATAAAAAAAAATCGAAAAGGGGGGGGTTCCAAACCGCCAGAACACCCCCTGGATCCGCCAATTGGTCCTTCATTTCTTTATTCTTTTTTTCTAAACAATTTTTCTCTTTTTTCTCGAGTGCGACGAAAGTCGCAGAAAGCGAGACATAGGGATTGCTTTTCCGGCGACGGCGTCAACAATTGTTATGTTTTCTGTTAGTTTGATAGGAACTACTTGTGATAGTTCATTGATATTTTGTATGAAGATGCAATTTACAATCAGTACATATCAGTTTGACGACAATTTTGAGGCCCTGGTCCAGTGACTTTGAATTAATTAGGCATTTTCAATGTTAAGTTTTCTGCTTAAGTTAGTTTGATTGGAACTACTTGTGATAGTTCATTGGTATTTTGTATGAAGTTGCAATTTACAATCAGTACATATCAGTTTGACCACAATTGTGAGGCCCAGCCCCTAGCCTATGGTCCAGTGACTTTGAATTGATTAGCAATATTTAACGTTAAGTTTTCTGCTTAAGTTAGATTGATAGGAACTACTTGTGATAGATCAATGATATTTTGTATGAAGTTGCAATTTACAATCAGTACATATCAGTTTGACGACAATTTTGAGGCCCTGGTCCAGTGACTTTGAATTAATTAGCCATTTTCAATGTTAAGTTTTCTGCTTAAGTTAGTTTCATAGGAATTACTTGTGATAGATCAATGATACTTTGTATGAAGTTGCAATACTATCAGTCCATATCAGTTTGACGACAATTTTGAGGCCCTGTCCCCTATGCCATGGTCTAGTGACTTTGAATTTATTAGCAATTTTTAACGTTAAGTTTTCTGCTTAAGCTAGATTGATAGGAACTACTTGTGATAGATCAATGATATTTTGTATGAAGTTGCAATTTACAATCAGCACATATCAGTTTGATGACAATTTTGAGGCCCTGCTTCTAGGCCACGGTTCAGTGACTTTGAATTTATTAGCAATTTTAAATGTTAAGTTTTCTGCTGAAGTTAGATTGATAGGAACGTCTTGTGATAGATCAATGATATTTTGTATAAAGTTGCATTGCTACATCAGTACATGTTAGTTTGACGACTTTTTTGAGACCCTGTCCCATAGGCCATGGTCCAGTTTCTTTGAATAAATAAGCCATTTTAAATGTTAAGTTTTCTGCTTAAGTTAGATGATATTGTGTGTGAAGTTGCATTGCTATCAGTACACTTTTGAGGCCCTGTCCCCTAGGTCATGGTTCAGTGACTTTCAATTAATTATCAATTTTCAATGATAAGTTTTCTGGTTAAGTCATTTTGATATGAACTACTTGTGAAAGATGAATGATATTTTGTATGAAGTTGCATTACAATCAGTACATATCAGTTTGACGACAACTTAAAGCTGCCCCTTAGGTCATGGTCCAGTGACTTTGATTTAATTAGCCATTTTCAATGTTAAGTCTTCTGCTTAAATTATAATGATAGGAAGTACTGTTGATAGATCAATGATATATTGTATGAAGTTGCAATTTACAATCAGTACATAACAGTTTGACGACAATTTTGAGACCCAGCCCCTAGGCCATGGTCCAGTGACTTTGAATTTATTAGCCATTTTCAATCATCGACAATGTTAAGTTTTCTGCTTAAATTATAATGATAGGAAGTACTGGTTATAGATCAATGATATTTTTTATGAAGTTGCAATTTACAATCAGTACATATCAGTTTGATGACAATTTTGAGGCCCTGCCCCTAGGCCATGGTCCAGTGACTTTGAATTAATTAATTTTCAATTTTCAATGTTAAGTTTTCTGCTTAAGTTAGTTTGAACTACTTGTGATAGTTCATTGATATTTTGTATGAAGATGCAATTTACAATCAGTACATATCAGTTTGACCACAATTTTGAGGCCTTGCCCTTAGCCCATGGTCCAGTGACTTTGTATTAATTAGCAATATCAAACGTTAAGTTTTCTGCTTAAGTTAGATTGATAGGAACTACTTGTGATAGATCAATGATATTTTGTTTGAAGTTGCAATTTACAATCAGTACATATCAGTTTGACGACCATTTTGAGGCCCTGTCCCTAGGCCATGGTCCAGTGACTGAATTAATTAGCCATTTTCAATGTAAAGTTTTCTGCTTAAGTTAGTTTGATAGGAACTACTTGTGATAGATCAATGATATTTTGTACGAAGTTGCATTACTATCAGTCCATATCAGTTTGACAACAATTTTTAGGCCCTGTCCCCTAGGCCATGGTCCAGTGACTTTGAATTTATTAGCTATTTTAAATGTTAAGTTTTCTGCTTAAGTTAGATTGATAGGAACTACTTGTGATAGATCAATGATATTTTGTATAAAGTTGCTTTGCTATCAGTACATGTCAGTTTGACGACTTTTTTGAAACCCTGCCCTATAGGCCATGGTCCAGTGACTTTGAATTATTTAGCAATTTTGAATGTTAATTTTTCTGCTTAAGTTAGATGATATTTTTTTGTGAAGTTGCATTGCTATCAGTACATTTCAGTTTGACTACAACTTTGAGGCCCTGCCCCTTAGGCCCATGGTTCAGTGACTTTGATTTAATTAGCATTTTTCAATAAGGTTTCTGCTTAAGTCCGTTTGATATGAACTGCTGGTGATAGATCAGTGATATTTTGTATGAAGTTGCATTACAATCAGTACATATCAGTTTGTCGACAACTTTGAGGCCCTGCCCCTTAGGCCATGGTCCAGTGACTTTGAATTAATTAGCCATTTTCAATGTTAAGTTTTCTGCTTAAATTATAATGATAGGAAGTACTGGTGATAGATCAATGATATTTTGTAAGAAGTTGCATTACTATCGATACATATCAGGTTGACGACAGTTTTGAGACCCTGCTCCCAAGGCATTGATCCAGTGACTTTGAATGAATTAGCCATTTTCAATGTTAAGTTTTCTGATTAAGTTAGTTTGATAGGAACTTTACTTACCATAGACAATATTTTCTATAAAGTTACATTGCTGTGTGTACATCTCAGTTTGTCAACCATTTCGAGGCCCTACCCACTAGTTGGTCCAGCGACTTTGAATTAATTAGCAATGTCGCTATCCATCAGATAGTCTTTGTCTTATTCTGAATTTTAAGCCGACAGGCGAGACATATATCTGTGTCAACAGTTTATCTTTATTTATTTTGCACATTATTCTCTATTCTTTATATTTTAGCACCGCATTGCTTCTCTTTTCTTTATATTTTAGCACAGCATTATTCTCTATTCTTTACAATTTTGCCTATGATTCTCTATTCTTAATATTTATTGCTATTTATTTTACACTGTTTGCCAAATATTATCTATTCTGTAAAGCCCGTCCAGACCCCCATACAGTTAACATTGTATGATAACTAAATTTAACCCTGCTGATTTTTTCTTCTATTAAGTAAAATTTATCAAATAAAAATGAGGATGGAAACGGGGAATGTGTCAAAGAGACAACAACCCGACCAAAGAGCAGAAAACAACCCAAGGCCTCCAATGGGTCTTCAACACAGCGAGAAAATCCCGTACCCGGAGGTGGGCTTCAGCTGGCCCCTTAACAAAAATGTGTACTAGTTCATAGAAAATGGACGTCACTAAACTCCGAAACATATAATTGAACCGAAATTAAAAAAAAAACATACAAGACTAACAATGGCCAGAGGTTCCTGACTTGGGACAGGCGCAAAAATTCGGCGGGGTTAAACATGTTTTGTGAGATCTCAAGCCTCCCCCTCTAGCCAATGTAGATTAAACAAACACACAGCAATACGCACAGTAAAACTCAGTTTAAAAGAAGTCCGAGTCCGATGTTAGAATAGGTAACAGAAGAAACTAAGCAAAATGACAATAATAAGTTAACATAAATTAACAAAGGACTACTAGCAGTTACTGACATGCCAGCTCCAGACCTCAATTTAACTGATTGAAAGTTTATGTCTTCATCATATGAAAATCAAGCACAATCCCTTCCATTAGGGGTTTCGTATCATACCGTCATAGTACATAACCCGTATCATGCCAACAACTGGTTTTAGAATAAATGTGTTTATATCCGATGCAAAGACCATATGAGTGAATCAATGTTAGTTCCAAAATATGGCATCTTTAATGACCTGACAACAGTTTCGTAACTATATCCCTTCTGAATAAGTCTGTTTAAAGGTTTGGTTGGCTTTTGAGGTGAATGACGACATTTTTGTGCTTTGTATAGAATATTTCCATAAAACATTGGATGTGAAATACCTGAACGCATAAGATGTCTGCACGTTGATTTATGTTTACGAATGATGTCCTTGTACCGATGATAAAATTTAGTAAATGTTTTGACTAGTTTGTGATATCGAAAACCCTGGTGTAATAAATTTTCAATAATACAGCGGTTTCTTTTGTTAAAATCAAATACGTTGAGCGAATCGAACAAGTTGAGATATATAAACACCATAAGATGGTGATAAGGGAACGTCACCATCTAAAAATGGATAATTAAGAATAGGAACTGCAAAATCAACTCTTTTATCGTAAATTTTGGAATTAAGCTTCCCGTGAAAGATATAAATATCAAGATCCAGGAAGGAGCAGTGTTCATTGTTGGTATTAGCTTTATTCAAAGTCAGTTCAGCAGGATAAATCTCTTTAATGTACATACTGAAGTCGTCAAAACATATTAAGGAAAGGGAAACCATTCTAGTTCGTATATTGAAAAAAAATTGGTTTCCAGACAATAACTTTAGTATAAGTTTATAGATCTTTATGAAATTTTACCACAATGTTCCATACCACAAAAGGAATGTACGGATTGATTTTGGGGGTTATAGACCAAACCGTAAAAGGAATTAGGGGCCAAAAAGGAACCAAAAACAAGCACTTTCTTGTTTCGGGACAATAAATTGTTTATAAATGTATGGATCTCTATGAAATTCCACCACAAGGTTCTATTCTTGAAAAGGGAGGTTGGGATTGATTTTGGGGATTATGGCCAAAACCATTTAGTGATTAGGGGACAAAAAGGGGAAAAAAGGATTTTCTGGTTTCCGGGCATTAACTTGAGTTTTAAGTACATGGGTCTCTTATAAATTGTACCACAAAGTTCCATACCAAAAAAAGGAAGGTTGCGATTGATTTTTAGGGTTATAGCCCTAACCGTTTAGGAAAAAGGGGTCAAAACAATACTTTTCTAATACTTTTTATAAATTGCTTATTTCTTGACCAATTTCAGTGGGCTTTAATTCTTGGGGTTCTTTAATATGCTATATGTAACTTAGATTTTTGATTTTGGGCCCTGTTTTTAAATTGGTCCACATTGAGGTCCAAAGGGTCCAAAATTAAACTTTGCTAGATTTTATCCAAATTGAATTATTGATGTTCTTTGATTTGCCGAATCTAGCCGTGTATTTAGATTTTTAATTTTGGGGCTATTTTCAAGTTGGTCCAAATCTGGTCCAAATTTAAACTTTGTTTGATTTCAACAAAAAAATAATATAAGGGGTTCTTTAATAATCTGAATCTTAACGCGTAATTAGATTTTTGGCCCGGTATCAAATGGACCCACATTAAGGTTCAAAGTATCCAAAGTCAAACTCAGTTTGATTTTAACAAAAATTAAATTCTTTGGGTTCTTTTTGATATGCTGAATCTAAACAAGAATTTAGAATTTTTATTATGGGCCACGTTTTCAAGTTGGTGGTATGAAATTGATCCACATTGAGGTCCAAAGGGTCCAAAATTAAACTTTGTTTGATTTCCTTGGAAATTGAATTCTTGGGGTTCTTTGATATGCTGAATATAACCATGTAATAAAATTGAGAATGGAAATGGGGAATGTGTCAAAGAGACAACAACCCGACCATAGAGCAGACAACAGCCGAAGGCCACCAATGGGTCTTCAATGCAGCGAGAAACTCCCGCACCCGGAGGCGTCCTTCAGCTGGCCCCTAAACAAATATGTATACTAGTTCAGTGATAATGGACGTCATACTAAACTCGCAATTATACACAAGAAACTAAAATTAAAAATGATACAAGACTAACAAAGGCCAGAGGCTCCTGACTTGGGACAGGCGCAAAAATGCGGCGGGGTTAAACATGTTTTTTGAGATCTCAACCCTCCCTCAAAGTAGATTTTTGATTTTTAACCATAATACGTAAATATTCAATTTCAAATTTTTAAGTTCTTAGGCCACATTCATTCTGTGTCAGAAACCTATGATGTGTCAAATATTTAATCACAACCCAAATTTAGAGCTGTGTATAGCTTGAATGTTGTGTCCATATTTGCATGAGGGTTCGACTTCTGCGGTCATATCAAAATGGGCACTGCGGAACATTTTATAAGATATATATGTCTAATACACTTTTTGTTCTTAAAATTTGATTTATTCGACATATGGAATGCGCCAGATAAGATAAGATAAGATATTTTATTAGTATAAAATCCAAACAATCGGATTGCTAATAAAACAAACACAAATAAACAATAAACAGTACAAATATGTAATATTTACAAAAAATATTAAAATGTTAGACGACATGGCTCTTTCATGCGACATGAAATCAAACATGATCTAATGTAATGTTATTTTGTAATTACGGTTGTTTATTTTTCATTGCAGATGCCTGGGAATATTTCAGCGAATGAAGAAGATGTATGTCGATAATAAAATGGTTTTTGGGTCAATTAATCAAGCAGGCGGCCATCTTGCCAGGTTGTCGGCCATTCTGACGGCTTTAAGAAATGGTGTTGCTATGGGGAATAACAGCGCATATTTACCATCCAGAATTATTGACAAGGAAACAGTTAAACGCGCATATCAGATAGTCCGTTTTATTTTACAACAGAAACTATGTCTTTTTGCCTCAAAAGCAGACGACGAATGGCCTGAAATAGCAGAAGACAATCAGAATACTACCTGGGCTACCGAAACGGACAACCAATCAGAAAAGAGTATTCATGTTACGACGACCGGAAATTACTCGGAAGAATATGAAGATGACGTTATGGAAATAGCGCAAAATGGTGGTCGTGCTGACCGAATAATTGCGGGCAAAAACGAAGTACCATCGAAAAGCTACGTAAATGATTACTACGCTGATTCCCTGCACCAGTCATATCCTGAAAATGAGATGGTCGTTGTGAAAAATCGATATCCTCCGACGTCAAATATGCACGATATAACATTTAGTAACCGGAGACCGGAGATGGATAATCGGCTTATGCAATATTTCGTCCCTATTACTTCAGCTGTTCCACAAATGTCTCGATCCATGGCACCATCCCCAATGGATGCACATGGGTCAAATATTCCGTCAAAGTCAGATTCGCCGATTATTAGTCACATTCCTTCGCCTCAGCCGACGGTTGTTCACAGTAACGTAAAACAAAAGGGCAAAAAAACATTCCGCGCTTCACATAAATGTCTTCTTCCGCCGTACGAAGGTTGTGTTTTCGATGCAGACGATGAGGTGTTCTTCCAACAATGCGCAAATAAAATCAAAAAACTTTTATTAACACATGGTGCTGTAGTTACGGCGTCTTACGCCTGTCAGTACCGATTATTTCCACCTGTGCCGATGGATATGCGACAAAAATCACCAAGGACATCGCACCCTTCTTGGGCAGCCTCTAGATTTTTTGAAAGATTAGAGGGTCTAGAAATCGGAACCATGCATGTATTGAGAGGTCATTCCGTCCGTTTTCTAAAGGAAACATATGCAAAAATGTCTGACCGCGGGAAAGAACTTTTGAAAAGACTTCGAATTTTACAGGAAGAGTATGAGGAAACATTTCCAGAGTCGACGGTGTTTGACGAACTGAAACTTATGCAAATGAAAAGGGATAACGAAGAGAATATCATGAATGACATAGTGTTTAACAACCAATGAAATTCCATTTTCTTTTTTAACCGTAGATAAAGGTCCATATAGTTTTAGCCACTAAAGTAATACTATCTGCCAAAACCATCGAGATTGGTCAATGGATACGTGGACGGACGTCTAATGAACCACAGAACCAATTATGTATTTGTTATCATGTCCACAGTTTTATAGTTTTATGATAAAGGTTTTATCTCTGACTTATGTTAAAATAGTTAATATTATCAATGGCGATATCACAAATGTTAACCCTGTCGATACAATCGTTAAACAGTATATTAGGAACTTGAAGGATCTGAACTAAAAACACATATTTTTTTAATTAAAAGAAAAAAATGAAAAGACAACATTTGAAAAAGAAATATGGGACCAGTTTCATAAAAAAAAATGTGCAACCCCCTTCCCCACCCCCAAAAAGCAACAAAACGAAAAACAAAAAACAAAAACCAAACCAGAACACAGAATAAAGTAAGTGTTTTCAATGGATCTTTTGTTCAACCAATTGATACTAAGCTTATTAAAAATGAGGGAATTGTCTTAAACATTTGATGACAATTTGTGCTGTTTGAAGCAATGATCTTGTACTACATTGGGGGACTTGTTTTACAATGGACCCAATGAGAAAAAAGTAATAAAATAAACAAATGTTACAAGAAATTTTCTTGTGGGGAACTGAGTGTCGATATTTTGCTGAAAATTTGGCATCCTTTACATGCCATATGGCGCCACCGTCACCGTTCTTAGCAGTACACATGTGCTTTAATGTATGAACAAAAAGGGGGCGATACAAAACCATATGTCAAAGAAAAACAGACTAAACCAAAAAATTCCAAACATCAGTCAACAAGACACTTAAGCAGAAAATTATTGACTAAGCAACAAGAATCCCACCAAATAATGGTGGTGAACGCAGGGCCCCGGAAGGGTCAGTGGTCACCGCACTACAAGTGACACCCGCTAAACTTCATAAAATAATGAAATCAATCAAACGACACAAATTTCAAAATTTCTAATTGGCATGTAAAAGGTGAACCGTACGGTCTGCAAAAATAGACCAGCGTCTTTACAATATGCAAATTTAAGCTCTAAATACCCCAGAGTCAAGAAAAGTTGTGACTAGATTTTATAAAGACTATCAAAGATATATATAAGAATGAAATGACAAATGAATGGAGATATAACCAAAGCAAGAAGTTGAGATAGATCCTGACTTCGGACAGTTATATGAAATGTGACGTGTTGAAGCTAGTTTTTGGGACCCCCCTTTTTTAATCAAACTTTGATTAGAAATGTTCATGAGAACTGCTGTACAAATTAGAGCTGAATATAAAGCGATGATTTTATTACTCAGCTTCTTGTGAATAGTATTTTCTTGGTGATTTTTGGCCAGTACATTTACAGTAAATATTATACGCTTATCTTTCTTTATACTGATCTAAAGAAAAAAATGAAAACACTACTTTTATGGACCGCTGAAAAAAATCAAACTAAACGTGATATGAAGATTCTTTATCAGCGAGTTTGCCTTCTTAAATTTTGTTTTAAATCATTGCAGACATGACAAAACTAACCATAATTTATTTTAATTCAACTTTTGAAAAAAAGGCCATTTTAACACAGTATTATGATTATTATTTTTAATTAGAGATAGATAGAATAAGCAATCTAATTATAATATAGATCTTTGATTTCGTTATCCTCGTATGTTTATATATATACGAGCACGTGAGTTAGGATGGATCTGAATGTAATCAGATTGATAGAATAAAGCAGCGATAAGTAAAGAATTTTGAAGGGTACAAAACGTAGTGCATTTTGTACAGCAAAGACAGTTATTACATTGATGTCAACGAACATGGCAAACACTTAAGGTTACAAGAGCGCAATTATTTGTTCACATTTAATCGGCAAGTTTTTTAAGATTGTACTCCGAATATAATCTTGTACGGCTTCTGATTGGATAATACGGGATTGGAATTACTTTAAATCGAAAGTTTATCCAATTAGGTTTAAAAAATCCAGAAATTCAAATTCATATTTTACAAAGTATAGAAAATATATTCAATTTCTACACGTGGGAGGCATTTAAAATTTGCCTTTTTCATTAATCGCAAAATTAATGAATTTATTTTGGGAGATTATAAAATCACAGAGAAATACATAGGACATGTGCTGGGAAAAAACTAATGCATTGCATAAGAAAAAACTGACTCATCAACGAAACCATAAAAAAGTATAAAAAAACTCCAAAGGGAATTCAAAAACGCGAAATCCATAAAAAGTGAAAAAATCAAACGTTATCAATCAATGGAACGAGCGAAAAAACAACTGTCATATTCCTGACTTGGGTATAGTTATTTTCGCAAGCACCTGGTTTTATAGCTAGCTAAACCTCCCACTTGTATGACAGTTGTTTAATTTAGATCGCAAGACGCACGTTTCGACTACATGAAACTAATCAAAACATTTGGAAGGCTAATTTATATAGTTTGTTCTTATGTTGTACTGTCACACTACTGTCCCAGGTTAGGGGAGGGTTGGGCGCCCGCTAACATGTTTAACCCCGCCACATTCTGAATGTGCCTGTCCCAAGTCAGGAGCCTGTAATTCAGTGGTTGTCGTTTGTTTCTGTGTATCATATTTGTTTTTCGTTCATTATTTTGTACATACATTAGGCCGTTAGTTTTCGAGTTTTAATTGTTTTACATTTGTCATTTCGGGGCCTTTTATAGCTGACTATGCGGTATGGGTTTTGTTCATTGTTGAAGGCCGTATGGTGACCTATAGTTGTCAATTTCTGTGTCATTTGGTCTCTTGTGGAGAGTTGTCTCGTTGGCAATTATACCACATCTTCTTATTTTTATAAATAAATTATTTATAGTTGAAGATCATAGAAAAACAAATTCCAAACGTGACGTAGTTGAGTCAACTTTGGCTAAGCCCATGTATGCCTGGGGAGGGATTTGAAAACCTTAGTGCGAAGAATCAGAAAATGGGTTTTAAATGTTATTCAGAGTAAATAAATCTTTTGAATCAATAGATAACGTGTAAGACCAGATACGACACAGGTTTTACTTTTCCGATTTTATGTTGAAAATGCAGGTTAACTATAACATAATGATTATTTTGCTAATTAGAGATATATAGAGAATGCAACATGTATTATTACAGCATATGATTTTGATAGAATACCAAACGCAGTACAGTAGGTACAGCAAGTGGTAACTTCTTATTTTTATTCATATTTTTTTTCTTTTTCTTTTTCTTTTTCTTTTTCCTTTTTCACTTTTTTATAATTTATTTGTAAATCAGACTAATACCTAATCAGGGTCATGTGGCTGCCAAGTTTATAAAAAATGAAAACAACATGTTGTAAATTTCGTGCGTCCGAATCGCCTTTTTGGATTTACCTTCATCAGGAACGCTCAAAGCCGAATATTTGAAAGCCGAGAATGTATAATAACATAAACAGTTGAAGAGCTAAAAAAATAAATGGGGAATGTGTCCATGGGACACCGATGATGCCCCCGCTTGCATATCATATAAAGTTATAAAGGGACATAACTGAAGAACGGTAAAAGTGATGCTACCCAAATTAGTACTTGATATGAGTTTTGTGATAATAAGTATTGTGTATAAGTTTCATAACATTTGGTTGAGGCAAACTTAAGTTAGAGAACGGAAACAAAAAATTCAGCAATTTTTCAATTTGTAAAGGGACATAACTCTAGAACTGTTAAAGTGACGCCACCAAAATTCAAACTTGATCTGTGTTTTGTGGTACTGAACATTGTGTATAAGTTTCACAACATTTGGTTGAGGCAAACGTTACTTAGAGAATGCATGGAAACGAAAAATTCAGCAATTTTTCCAATTGTAAAGGGGCCGTACGGACGGACAAGGGTAAAACTTACTGCTACAGCGGGGGCATAATAACCATTTTTTTTTATCTAAGGTCATCTTTGCCTTTTATAAATGAAGGTATGAATGCCCTTTGCCGTCAGACGTCAAATGGTCATTTTGGACTACCGTTAGCGACAAATTGGTTAAAGTTTTATCGCGATGTCATTTGGCAAGATTTTTTACCGTTATTCGTCATGAAGGTACCCCCATTACGACCCTCATAAATCTCATAATAGTCTATTCGTTAAATTTTGGTTAAAGAAGTAATAAAATACCACCTTACAATTTTAACTGATTGTTGCTTTGCCTAACGTCTGTTGGAAAATATGGCATGCATTTTCATGACGAGAACAAATTAACAATAGCACAATAGGTGTGTTTAACAGGTGAAGGGTAGAAATCTGAACTACCACTGGAAAATAAGGTTTGATGGTGCAAGAGTTCTTTAATGTAGAGAAAGTAGCACTATCTACACAAGGCAACAGAAAATAACATAGGGTTAATTTTTTAACCAAGGGTTCTGATAGTTAATCCTTGGTTAAAATCTAATCAAGAGATAAACAACTGGGTCCTGGTTTTCTACAGAACCCGTTTAAATTTGGTTTGATAACAGCTTTCTTAATCAAATACAGACATTAGAATGATATTTAATGGTATTGTAAAAGTGAAGGGTTTTGAGTATACAACCTAATTAATTTGATCTACATGCTTTTGGTGGTACATTACTAAAAAGTAGAGGCTACTAGAAGCTTGTATTGCTTACCTGGCATTTTTGCATAACACTGATACAATGCAATAAGAATATTCCGATAGTGTCTGGCAAATAAGCAAAAAATTGAAAAATATCATCACTCAAGGGATACAACTCCTTTAAAGAGCCGATTGACGATTTTAGGCATGTTAACTTTTTGTTTTGTTAAGCTTATCATTTTTGTTATTTACTGTTTCTCTCTATTTACTATAGTTAAAAAACAAAAACACACACAAAACAGGTAAAAATCGTCATTGAAGGGCAATAACTCCTAAATGTTGTCAACTGACCTTTCTGCAGAAATTGTCCTGCTGATCTTTTTTGCCGTTTTCAGTTTCTCTTTATCTATGAAAGGTTCGAGAACTCATAAAAATAAAGAGATGCAGCATGATTGCCAATAAGAAAACTATCCACCAGAGGTTAAATTTCCTGTTCAACCCACCTTGTTAATGTGCCTATCCCAAGTAAGTCTTACTACATATCAATATATTTGTCATTCAGGTTATTCCATTAATATGGATGTGGGTGGGTAGGTAGGACTTCCAAAATCTCTCCACAATCAGTATACATCTTCTTATTTTTATATTGTACTTTCTTAAGTTATTTTACATACATCATATTGTCATACAAGCAAAAATGACCCACCACCCATGTCCAAAAATAAAAATCCTTTCTTACTCTCCCGTACTTTTAAATGGAATAGCCCTTAATGGAAACAAAAGTTAAAGGCATTTTTTTTTTATTGTTGTCTGTTGAATTCAATCACAGCAGGACTACATGTTGGGTTATTTTGGGCATGTCATACTATACTGCTGCTTGCTCAAAAGTTAAACACAGGTTCTTTTCCATTGTTGAAGACTGTATTGTAACCACTAGATACACATGTATTTAAATTAAAACTAGAACACACATACAACATCACGGGTCCGTGACTGAATTAAAGTACCTACCCCTAATTTTTAGAATTCATATTGTCATCTAATAAAGTCATGCTGATTATGAGGTGCACAGTTTTCTCTGCTTTCAAAATATTTGTGTATGAACCTGTCCAGGGTTTTCTTACTACATCTGGAAAGTACATGTGACATATACCATTAGTATCTGTATTGGATTTGACCAGGAACTTATTAATTATTGGTAATATTAATTATGTGGAAAACAAAAGAGCAGGGAATAGTGTAATTTTTAATCAACACCATTGTCCCATATTAGTTATATTTTAAGTTGAATTCTTTGTTTCGTCTTTTTAACGTAATGTCGGCTGACAAAATGGACCTTGTTTTTTTAGTAGTATAGATCTGTGAAAGAGGTCTCATTGTCATTTACTGTGGGTTCATTTATTTTTGTGGATTGTTGGAAATTGCATTTTCATAGATATTCAATTTGATTTTTTTGAGGGGGCCTCGGTGGCCGAGTGGTTTAAGTAGTTACTACTGTAATCACTAGCCAGTCAACACTGAGGTTGTGAGTTCAAACCCTGCTCGTGCGGGTGCACTTGACTCCAATCTTAATTGAATAGGATTGTCAGTTTTCCTATCCAATAAAAACTGGCCGCCACGAAATAGCCCAAAAGCGGTGCTTAAAAGTGGCGTTAAAACACCAAAAATCAAATCAAATCAAATCATTTTTTTGACAAAACTGCTTTAAAGTTTAAGAGAATTTTTACTTTGTTGTACATTTGTGGTTCACCTTATATACCCACAAAACCCACGAAAATTAGTATAACACAAATAATTTTTTTTTCTGTACGTATAAGAATGGAATATTAAATGAATGCAATAATATATATTCATATATTGTATTTGTAAAGCATAATATAAATGTATAATGAAATGTCACCAGGTTAACAGCAAATAAACAAGATATTGTTCAATAGTGGTTAGATGACATTCAAGATATCAATGAAAAAATGAAACATATGCTTGCCTGGTAAGTCCTGAAACAACTTTTACAATGTAATCTAAGAAGTCTTACAAAAAACTAACAATAAAGGCACTTAAATTAATTTAAGATTTAACAAACTGTCCATAAATCGTGAAATAAAAATAAAGTCTTAATATATATTCATTTGTGATGTCATTATTTTAATAACTTAATTAGGTGATCTCAATATTGCTATAAAAGTTCTTTGTAAAACTAAATTATGAGGGTCAAATTGATCAAAAATCAATACTGACTGAGGTTTGAGGCTGAGGTCACTATTTATTTTGGTGCAATCACCAAAGAAACAGATTTTAAGGTAATATCTTAGAAAGACATAGCCTTATATTGAAACATATAATTTTTATCAATCTGATCATTGATAAATAATGATATTTATGAATATGAAAATTCATTTCCAACATAATACTGATTGCTACTATAAAAATAAGTTATTGTATAAAAAATTATTCATACTTTGTAATCATAAACATGATTTTTTCTTATAAAATGATTAACCAATCAAATTATCAAAATGATACAAAATGTACGCAAAATAATCAATATACATGCAGCAGAGACCAGCAGCAGGCAATTTCCATTCCAGAAAAACATTCATATTTTTACAAAATGATGCATTCCTTTCGTTCATCAGTTAAAAAAAATTATATAATATAATTTAGAAATTATTTCAATGTTTTTATTCATGCGAAAAATGCAACAGTATCAGGTTCGCAATAATAAAGAATCGTATTCATAATATCAGAAGTGATTTACCGTTATTAAATTTTTGCAATCACATTTATTAGATCTTAAGAGTTTTTGCCAGTGGTCACAAGGATTCACAATAATAAATGCACACATTAATTTCTGAAATAACAGTATCTTTGTTAAAACTAAAGTCACAACATCCTTAATGAAAGCTAGCCATGAATTAGGTTGTTCTGCTTAGCCTCTTTTTGGTTTTGATGATCATGTTTGGCTTTCTGAGTACTAGTTAAAAATACTGGGGAGAACACTGCATGTATTCATTTTAGTATTTCTATTATTCCATAGTCAAACTTCAGTCCTAACACTGTACAGACTCCACCTCTTTAACTACAAGTTTTGTCCAATCAAAAATGTTCAGAGTGGAGTTCCTATCATTTTTAAATATGTTCATTCTTGTAAAATTTTAAATATTGAATCGTAGTTACATGAAAAAAAACAGTAAATAATGCACGAGAGCAATAGATAGATAAAAAGTCAAAGTCAACATGACAGCAACCCTTCAACACTTGTTGTAAGAGGGTGTGGATTGGGGGGGGGGGGGGGGGGTTCTTCATTTCTGTATTCTTTAATTTTTTAGGCAATCTTTCTCTATTCTTTATGAAATTTGCAGGTTATTCTCTTTTCTATATATTTTAGCATCCCATTATTCTCTATTCTTTATTTTTTTAGCCCTTAATTCTGCACATTTTGCCCATTATTCTCTATTCTGTAAACCCCATCCAGACCCTCTTGTAAGCTGTAAGCTATGAATGATAAAAATATATGACCATCAGATAAATCTTATACAACATAAATATTATATGAAATTTATTTAATAAATTTCATAATTCTTGTTTACAAAGAAATGAACATCTCCATCCTTCTTCAAGCAATCACATTTAAAATGATTTCTAGTCAAGATGAACATAAAATACACAAAATGAAACTATAAATAGCTATGATGCAACTTACTAGTTAAAGACCTATAAGATCAATGTTGTTATGTGTTTCTCAATTTTTCATTTTCTTTATCATTTGTTTATAAGGGATTCGAAAAAAATTTTGGGCTAAAAATGCATGTTTACAAAATCATGTAAATACAAAATGTTTGTGTTTAATTGTGTGATAGGTGTTAGCAAAGTCTTCATGGTCAAGTCATTCCATTTTTACTAGGCCTATTCACTGAGATTTTAATGTCAAAGATGATATATATTCAACAAGTTGATTGATTTGCTCTTCAGCTTAGTAATTTATTTGGTTTGGACAGTTTTGATTCAAGTTCCACTGGTCAATTATATGCATAAGTTCAATATCTACAACAAGTTTTTTTTTTCAAAAGTTACAAAATTGCTATTTTTGTGAAATATCGAATGCATGCAAGAACCACAAAATATTTATATAAAATGTGTTGTTTATATGTAAAAACACTGTGGTTTAGTTGATTTAAATCCAAAACACCATATCAAAAATAATCAAAATATATAAAAAGCTACTGTTTCAAGTAATAAGAAAACCAAATTATCCCATTTTATTAAAATCTGCCATAAGCTTTTTTCATTAGAAGTGCAGAAAAAAAATTATTAGAGACAATGTAAAGAATTTTAAATTATCTCCCTTTTATAACTGGTTTTAGGTAGATAACGGTCATTCCAATTTATGTATTCATTGATTTTTTTTTATCCAAAGTCTAAGTGAATTTTCAGATTTTTTTGATGTGCCTTGCAAAGACATCCATTGTTTCATACAGAAAGTTACAACTTCTGCAAAATACTTATTATATTCAAAGTTTCAAAACATTTCTTGAGCTGGTTTGAATTGATAAAATGATAAAATTTTAACTTTTTCCAATTTAATGTTAGATAAAAAGTACTTATTAAATTATTTTATAACAGAATATTTTCTGCTAAATTGTGTAAAAGCAAAAAAATTAATCCCCTTTTAGCATTTGAATTATCTCCCCTTTGTAGCCTAGCTACAGTAAATAACCAACTAGCATTGCCAGTACTCCTAAGATAAATTCCAATGGAATAGCCAAGATTAATGTAACATAATGTAAATGCATAGAGCACCCCTTTGAACAATAAATACATAGGGTGTTGAACAGATATATAACATCAAAAACAATTTATATGCAAAGACAAATACTTTTATACATCTCAGTACATACACAAAGAAATCTCAGTACATACACAAAGAAATCTCAGTACATACACAAAGAAATCTCAGTACATACACAAAGAAATCTCAGTACATACACAAAGAAATCTCAGTACATACACAAAGAAAACAAAACATTCAACTCATAGGAAAATCCAAGTTTAAAATCTTTCTATTCAAAATATTTTTTTTGGGTATAAAACGTGCAAAAGGCGAGCATTCTATTCCTAATCACTAGAAGTATGACTTATATTTATTTGTATCTGTGGTACAAAAGAATTGAATGACGAAATAAGAATTTAAAATATCCAGTTCAAGATTACTAAACTATTGCACCTTCTTCAGTATTTTTAAAAAAAATTTCAGGATGCATACATTATTGGAACTGTGAATGAGTGTCTAAGAACTGCACTTGGAAAAAACATGAAATGATTGCTATTTACATGATACTTGTTTATGGAATATTTGTTGCTGTGGACAAGAAATTTTTAAAAATCTAGAAGTAACCTCTGTAATAAAGTGGAGTTTAATTTGTTTTTAATTGTAAAGTGCCTGTACAAAGCCAGTTAATAACACAGAATTGCCACTTGTTTAAGTGGTAACCTTTTTAGAGATTTTTTTACTCAAAATGGCCAGAATGATTTTTAATAAACACTTCAGATTAAATGTTATTTCCTCTCCTTTCATACATTTACACTACTATAAACTTTATACACTGAAAATTTAACAGTTGAGGAAACCAATTAGAGCTCCCACTTCAAACCCCAACTTAATTAAAACAAATCATCGTAAAATGCCATTGGATGTAAAATATATGAGTGTGATACTTGATTTATAAGGTAAATGGAAAATAGAAATAAAGAGATGAAGTCTGGATATCCTTGTCAAATTTCTGAATTTATTCAAACAAAAAAAATTGAGTGATTTTTTCTTGCTTTAACATCCAGCATACAAACAAAAATTGAATAAATATCATAGAAACAACAATGAAATTACTATTCAGTGAGTATGACTTTTCTATGGTGAATTAGAAATAAACTGTTATCACAGAGATATGTCTCGCCTTTTTGTAATTTTGATAATGCAAATGTTGAAATTAAAATAGCAATACTTTAACATGTAAGTTATGCAAATATTCAAAGTCGAGGAACCATGACTGAAAGTACATGGCTAAACAATCTCCATGAAATGAGATGTGCCAATGCTAATACAACTGCATACCAAATACCATTGACTTATCATAAGTCGTTCCCTTTCAACAAACCTAAACACAAACATTAACTTGTAAACTATGTAAAAGTTTCAAAGTCAATTAACCATGATCAGGGGTGGGGCTATATAATCTCCATGGAAAGGATACTTGCAAATGCCAATAAATCTGCATACCAAATATCATTGACTTAACATTAGCAGTTCATCTTAAACTGATCTAATCACAAACTAATACATGTAAACTAAGCAAAAGTTTCAAAGTAAATAGACCATGACTGAGGGGGCGGGGCCAAATATTCTCCATGGAAATGAGATGTGCTAATGCTTATACAACTGAACACCAATTAACATCTGCCTACCACTAATGGTTCCCCTTGAACTTACCTAATCACAAACTAATACATTGTTGACGCCGACGTCGCTGCCACCACCGTAAACAGCATACCTATGTCTCGCTTTTTGACTCCATCAAGGCGAGACAAAAATGTTACGATGATAATTCGTTCTTGTTGTAAAAAAAATTCTGACACAAAATATTCAATGTACAAATAAAATCTTTGTAAAACAGAAATATAATTGTCTCTACATGATACAAAATATCAAATAATACGTATACAAATAAAATTTATAAAATTTAACCGAAAAGTTTGACAAAACATGGATGACAATATGGTTTATCGTTCTGCTCTTTAAATGTGCCTTTGTTTAACTGTTTTAAGCAGAAGGCACATACAAAATGTTCCGGGTGAAATTTCTTAAACATGGCTGTTATACAACGGCCAGATATTGGTTTCTGACAGCTGGCACACAATGAGCCTCTCTTTGCATGGTAATGAGTTTCACAGTATGGTAATCCTTCATGTTCGAAAAAACTCCTTCCTCCAAAGGGTTGACCACAATCCTACAATGACATTAAAATACTTAATAAATGAGGGAGATAATTTGTAAATGACCTCATCATAGAAACCAGGATAAAAAATTTGGTATGGCAGACACATGTTTTGTCTACAAAAGACTCAGCAGTGTAAGTTTATAGAAGTCTTAAAAAGCATTGTGAAATTAAAGCACCTCATTAACATGGATTAAATTTTTCACAGCAGACAGCATCTGCTCTATTCACTTTTGGATATTTAATAGCTTTTCAACAAGTTATTCCTGGAAAATTTGATGTTCCTCCGATTGAGACATTTCCTGCAGACGACACATCACCAATGCAAGTGTCTGACTAATGCTTAGTTCAAAAGCCAAAATTAGCAAAATTTTTATATTTTGAGACATACCCTACAGATAGACAAATCATTATAAATGTCTATTCTAATGCTAGATCGAATGCTAAAATATGTGAAATATATATTTTGAAATATGCCCTACACAAAAACATTTTGATTGTAGTGTCTGTGATTAAATGCTACAATCTGTAACATTACATTACTTTGAGACTTACTCTACAGGTAACATTATATTACTTTGAGACTTACCCTACAGGTAACATTATATTTCTTTGAGACTTACCCTACAGGTAACATTACATTTCATTACTTTGAGACTTACCCTACAGGTAACATTATATTACTTTGAGACTTACCCTGCAGGCAAAACATTCTGGATGCCAGTGTCTACTCAGTGCTGAGATATAATTATCTAAGATAGGACGACCACACCCTCCACAACGAGGAGCAAACATTTCCAAGTAGTCATCTCTGAAAAATGGAACAAAATCATTCTTGGTAATAGACAATCACATTTCCATGATGTAAAAATTAGTGTTTAAGCAAATTAGTAATAATTTGTAAATCTGAAAAATAAAAGTGAATGTTTTTGTTTTGGCTTTTACTGTATTGTTAATTGCTGTCTAATTGGTGTATACTGGTACTGTGTTTCTCCATTTCATCATACATTATGGGACTTTTTCATATTGCAGGTGGGCCTCGGTTGCCGAATTGTCTTAGTAATTGAACTACTGTATCACTAACCAGTCAACACTCAGGTTGACTAGGATTGTCAGATTTCCTACCGATGGTCGGTGGTTCTCTCCGGCTTCCTCCACCAATAAAACTGGCAGACACGAATTAGCACAATAGAGTTAAAAGTGGTGTTAAACATCAATCAATCAATCATATTGCAGGTAGAGTGTAAGTGTTACTTGTCGAGAACTCCTAAACCTCCCCAACAAACTTCAATATGTAAATTATGCAATCATTTCAAAAGTTTACGAACCCTAACTAAAAGCATTGGGCTGAATAAACTTTAAAGAAATGTGACATACTGGTGTTAATGCAATTCATAAGAAACATCATTGACATATCACAAATTAATCCTGTGAAATGATCATATCGAAAACTAAAACAATGCTGATATTTCCACCTATGCTTGAAAAACAACACCTATAATTTTCCTCTGAAGACAAAACAAAAACAAATTTTGTTTCATTTCTGTTTTATAAAATCCTCAATAAAAAAAACCTACACAAATAAATAATCCAATTTGTATGTAATTTAATCAAATTATCTTCCTTAGTATACAAACCTATTGGCCCAAGTTATTTCGTAGTGCATTTCTTTAGACACTAAATGAAAATTAAAAGAATAGCACCTGCTCTTTCTTAATAATATTTTTACAGTGTGATGTACTACTTTTTGGACAAATCATATCAAAATTATAGAAAAACTCATCAGCTCCAACTTAAAATATGGACAATTTTATGTTAATGGGGTCTTGAATTTGGTTTGACAGCTTCAGACATTCTTATTTTTATCCTTTTTCAACTGGAACAAATCACTACTTTACTTTAAAATTCATGACCTCAATTTTTGTACATTGTAATTTCATTCCCCTACTTGCTATTTGAGGCATAAAACATGAAGAAATCAATTTGGATGGAGTATGCAAAAAAAAAATGCAAGTAATACCCTGTCCTCACTAGGAACTATAAGATAAAATTATCTCCCTTAGTATACAATCCTTTTTTAATCAAATTATCTCCCTTAGTATACAAACCTGCAGTATGCTTTCCCATCCATTTCATGAAATCCATCTTCCCCAAATGGTCGTCCACACTGGGCACAGAAGAAATGTTCGGGGTGCCATGTACTTCCCAAAGCTGTTACACATTTCTATAAAATACAAATAATTTACAAGTTATTTGTCTATTGATATTTTGCCGCAATATAGCCTTTTTGCACTGATGTGGCATAAAACAAACATCAATCAATCCTTCTGACATTGAAATACAGTAAAATGTATATCTTACTTTTGATCTGTTCTCTGATGATTTTTTCGATCTCCCCAATAAATTTTTCTGCATTATTTTGATTGGTTATTTTTTACTGGACTTCATGAGATGTAATTAAATTTTTTTTCAGATTTTTATTCAGAAATCAGGTTTGCTTAGAATAAACTCCATTAGAACTTTTAAGAAACCATATACAGTCAAACCTGTATTAAGCAGTCACTCCTGGGAAGTATCAAAAGTGACTGCTCAAGAGAGGTGACCTTTGAAACAAGGTTCCAAAAAAATCTGATTATGACATCACTTGTGGCCGGATTCGGGTCAAATTGTTTTAGTGTTTTCAATCGTTTGAGTTATTGTACTTGCAAGCAGTGAAATGAAAAATGGCAGATCCTGAAAAATTCGAAATATGTTGATATAAGTGGAGAAATAAGTCCCTGATACTGTTTTCAATGGAAACTGAAAAGAGTGGAAAAAGGCAAATTTAAAACTCACCTTCTATTGGGTGATCTTGGTTGCAAACGGTTTTGATTTTCATTTTGACTTCGATATTGACAACATATAATTTTCGTCATAAAGATTTTTGGTAGTTAAAAAATTTAAAATGACAGTTGTTAAAAGTTAAAATGACAATTTTGTTAAAAAAAAAGGTGACAGCTGAACATGTTAGACAGTTACCACCAAAATGAGTTAAACTAGCATTCTGAGAGTATTGCATGGCAATACATAGTCCCCTACCGGGTAAAAAGTCATTATACTGGAACAAAATGCTAACTTGTTCTATATATTGTCATGGTGTAAACAAAAAGTAAATATCATGTCAATATCTTCAAGCATGACTAAAAACAGTGTGGAAAATGATTATATGAGTGAATTTTTCAAGGACCACAACTCTGCACAAAATTATTAGACAAAAACAAAAATTTGAACTTGATCTGTAACTTGTCATGATAAAACTATATACCAATTATCAATCAATATCTTAAAAGCATGATGAAAAAAACATTAGATATGATTAATAGTTCTCTAAAATTAGATATGATGTAATACAGTGTATATCTATTTTCAAATTATAATCAAATATAATTAATAGTTCCAAATATTTTTTCTTTCATTTGTCACAAACTAATATAGATTTGTAACTTATCTATAAAATGTCAACAACTTTTATCTACACAATGTAATGTATTGAAATATATACATTAATAAAAATAGATTATTATCTAATTAAAGGATTTCTCTTTGTAATTTTTTTTTTTTTTAGATATATAGCATTCAGAAAATTAGTTTATACTAAATAACAAACAAACCTGCCAAAAAATTCTTCAAATAATTTAACAAAGAATGTCTTTTAAAAAATGAGTTATCTCCCTTTGTACAGAAATATGGTTAAACATAGTACTCTAACATTAGATATGGTCCATAACTCTGGACTAAATCATCAGACCGGAACCAAATTCGAACTTGATCTATAACTTGTCATGATAAAACTATATACCAAATATCAAATCAATATCTTCAAGAACGTAGAAAAAAAGTGTGGAAAGCTGATTTGCCGGACTGACGGATGGACAGACGGACGGACGGACGGACGGACAGATGGACAGAAGGACGGAGTGCAAACCTAAAGTCCCCTTTCGACTTCGTCGGTAGGGGACTAATTATATAGAGAAAATGTTTGGGGGGGGTTTGAAAGTGACCGTAAGAGACAGGTGACCGCTGAAACGAAGTGACCGTTAAGGCAAGTTTGACTGTATATGTGTATAATTTTTATACACAATCAAACATTCCTGTAAATTGTGTGGTTCAAATTTCTTGAAATTTTTATATTTTTGTCAACAGGTGAAAGTAAATATTTTTTTCATAATTTCATGAAAATCAAACGAACCAAATCTATTTCAGTCAAAGTGTTGGGTACCCCCTTAAGGGACCACCTATCTTAACCTGACCAGAGACCACAAAAATTATTTGGTTAAGCTGAGCATGAGAACTCTTGTTCTTTAGTGTGCATAAATACAACTATCTGTCTATCAACCACATGGAATTAAGAGTAAGAAGTAAATTAGTTGTCTTCAAATTGAAATATAAATGTTTAACTGCATAACTTGTCATTAATATGTCACTTTTAACACGTATTCATCCTTAATGTGGCTGACAGTTGCTCATTTAACAAGTGAATCTGTGAGCTACTGCTCACTAATGATACCCCCGCCCTCTTAAAGTTTAAGGTAAACAGGAAGTTGTTGAGTGATGAATCTGAAAACGCATCATACGGTATAGTGGACTTATATAAACCCTGAAAACAAATTTCAGAAATCCTTGTATTGCAGTTCCTGAGAAAAATTGACGCAATATATTCATGGGACGGACTGACGGACAGACTGACAGAGGTAAAACAGTATACCCCCACTTTTTTAAAGCGGGGGTATAAAAAATTAACATAGCATTTATCAATGTATCTATCAAAATTAAAGATGGACAATATACAAAACTTACATCAACAATAGGTCCATTACAATAGCTACATTTGGGGGCGAAAATCCTGTGGTAGTCTTCTTCACAAAATGCAGCTCCATCTCTTTCATAGAAATTCTTGGTTCCTAATGGCACATTACATTGTTCACAAACAAAATGCTCTATGTGCCAAACTTTACCCAATGCTGTTATAACCTGAAAAGGATAAAAGTTAAATGTATTTTGATATCTATTTTTAGCATATTATTATTCATTGATTTTTGTGGGAAACCAATTTTAGTGGATTTCATGTGTAACAGGAAACTACAAATTCAAATACTTAATGAAATACAAATTACAAATACAATACACTTTCTGGATATGGAATGGTCTTAAGTTCATCTCCTTATTCCTTCAACATGACATTGTTTATTCTTTTAAAACAATTTTCATCAATAAAGTATACTAACACAATTCTGTTTGTGCAATGCAAAAAACCTTCACATGGCAAAATACTGTAAATACAGAAATTATTGTGAGGATTTTATTAATGCAAATTATGTAACTAGGTGAGTATTGCAATAATAAGAACTTGCATTCCAATATCAGATACATATAACTGTATGCAGATTTTCCTGAAATAGCAATAATTAATCTTAGATTTTTGCCCTTTTGAAAAAAAATCATAATAATAAATGCATGCAAAATTTCTGAATTTACAGTAAATGGTTTGCATGTTATTTCATCAGACATAGCACCCAATTAGGATTTCCTTTTCACTAAATATTCAGACAAAATTTCACCTCTGCATAGTGATCTTAATTAAAAAATGCAATTTTGCAAATGTTTCTTGTCCAACCCTCTTGAAAGACTGTCCACTGGATGGAGAACAATGCTGTATCCAAAATACTAGACGGCTAGCAAAGAAATCCAGACACAACTGAATTACACTTAATGTACTCCCACATAGGAACACCACCTACCTGACCAATAACAGGTTGATTACATGCACCACAGAGTCCTTTTGTTTTAGTAGTCACTCCTTGTTCAGAAAGCTTTGATTGGATATCTCCTAACATAGATTCAAGTTCTCCTGTGTGTTGAGCACCACCAGCATTTGAAATGTGACCTTGACTAGACATCTGACCTTGACCTACATTTCTACTCTTGTTTGGTTTTGCATATGATGGTTCATTAGGTGATGGTGATCTGACTTGTGGCTGTTGTTGCCCTGACACCTGAATAAAAAGAAACGTTAAACATAATTGGATATTTACTGCAGAAATCTTAGAGTACAACATTTCATAAGCAAAGTCTTCTTAAATAGAGAATGAATGCTATCTGGACCATGTGCTGTTTGTTTTGTATTTTTTAGTACAGTTTTTTTTTTTGAGGCAGTTGACGGTTGGTGATTTTTGTGGTCTATTTTTCTGGCCAATATTTTTGGTAATTTTTGTTATCATTATTATGTATTATTGTATAATTCATCCTTATTTGTCTTGCCTGTATAACCAAAATCCCATTTAACAATTTGCCAACGCTACCAGAGAAAGCAGCACCCTAAAGACTATACTTCCGGTGGAAAAAAAAATATTGGAAAATGAAATTATCTCTGTAGATGCTTTTAAAATAAAAGCATATGAATAGCTAGATTTTTTGGCAGAAAAAGATGTCTCTGGATTTTACCAATGAAATATATGGGAAGAATAGAATATTACTTTGAGTGAAGAATACAGTTATCTCCCTTGCCATCTGAACTATGCTTTTTCTTCTAAAATGATAAAAGTTCTGTAAAAATTCTATAATTACCTTAAATTCTGATAACGTAGCCATCAGATCATCAAGTTCTCTAGTAGCAGTTGACGCCTGTTTGGTAACAGGTTGATGTGCAGGAGGGGGAGGGGACTGTGGGAATCCAGCATTGTTAGCTGTATGTGACAATGTGTAGTCATATGTTGCTTCCTCACTGTAAAAATAGAATTTGAATAAAATTGAAAAAGAAATACAATGTTGTTTGGATTCTGAAGTTACGACCTAAATGAAATTCAGTACCGGTACATAAGAGCTGAACACAGAAAATTTAATTCTGATATTTTATTAATAATATGAATTCTATAAAACAATGAATGCTCAACTTCAAAAACATAAAAATGAACTTGGTTTTACAATTGCCATTTCAGGGCCTTTTATAGATGACTATGCAGTATGGCTTTTGCTCAATGCTGAAGGCCATCAATGACCTATAGTTGTTAACCTCTATGTCATTTGGTCTCTGGTGGAGAGCTGTCTCATTGGTAATCATACCACATCTTCTTATTTTCATATTGGTTGCCAAGACTTGTATTATCCAATGTTTGATTTTACAGATCAGATCAATCTACCATTAAGTTGTTCATTGATAATGAAAAGTCTACAGTATGTGATAAGAGTCTGTCATTTATTTGCCAAATATTTCTATCTAGTTTCTGCAATAAATGATTGCATTATTCTCAATTTGGAATCCTATTTTGAAACTCAAAAATGTTTGGATTATCTCCCCTATACTACTGTGATATAAAATTTGCCATTAATCTCCATGTAGGATTAAAGGAGAAAACAAATGACTACTTTATCATAAAAAATCATATGACTGCTTAAATGACCAGGTTACACATATAAAAAAATTTGTAAGGGTTCCGCGGAACCTAGTGTCTCGCTTACTTTTGCTGTTAATCACAGGCTCAACAAAAATGAGGAAAAAAATAAATAAAAATATTCCTCTCTATACTATCTTTTGATTGTAAGTAGCTTCTGTCCAAGTTTGGTAAAAATCCAGGATAGTTTATGAATCTAATAAATGTTTTAAAAACTTAAACTGCAGACTGTATGTAATGTTAACTGGAAGAAAAACTAAGTCCATTTATAAGTAAAATACGGAAAAAATGGAATAAATTTTTACAAAATTTCCTTCTAGATACTAGCTTTTAATCATAAACAAGCTACTGTTCAAGTTTGGTACAAATCCAAGATAGTTTAAGAAAGTTGTTAAAATTTTAAAAACTTTAACCACAGAGTGAATGTAATGTTAACTGGCAGAAAAACTAAGTCCATTGATAAGTAAAATACGGAAAAAATGGCATTTTTTTTTTTTTAAATTTACTTCTGGATACTATCTTATGATCATAAACAAGCTTCTTTCCAAGTTTGGTAGAAATCCAGGACAGTTTAAGAAAGTTTTTAAAATTTCAAAAACTTTAACCACAGAGTGAATGTAATGTTTCCTGGCAGAAAAACTAAGTCCATTTATAAGTAAAATACATATAAAATGGAATTTTTTTTTTACAATATTTACTTTTGAATATAATCTTATGATCATAAACAAGCTTCTGTCCAAGTTTGGTAGAAATCCAGGATAGTTTAAGAAAGTTATTAAAATTTCAAAAACTTTAACCACAGAGTGAATATTTGTGGACACCGCTGACGACGACGACAGAATGTAGGATCACTATGTCTCGCTTTTTCGACAAAAGTCGAAGGCTCGACAAAAAGCCATCTTCCTGTCAAGTTTAGCTTTATATATCTTTAAAAAAAGCATGTAAAAGGTTGATTGCAGCAAAATATATACATATAAACTAAAACTTAAAGCTACTCTACTTTGTAATTGATTTGGGCTTCATTCAAACTGTTGATTCTAGGACCACTGTCAGATGAGTTTAAAATATTTGTAGACAATTTGCATATCTGGTGTTCTATGTTGTTAGCCTGGTAACCTTCTTGACTTGACATTTTTTAAACTGAATGATATCTAAGGATGCTACATTATATAAAAGACCATTCCACAATGATGTATTATTAAAACAAATACCTAGTCAGTTAAAAACAATGGTAAAATACATGTACCAAAACAGTGTTCAAATAAATATTGCCCCCTACCTTCTCCTTGGTCCATCTGGTAAGGCATTTTCTAATTGGTCCAATAAATTGTCTACAGTATTACGTTTCTCAGATCTGTTAGGTTTGGGTGCCACTTGTGGAGCCGGTGGCTTGTTGCCATCATTTATCACACCATTTTGTTGCAGTGGCTGGTTAGCTGAAGACAAAACACAATCATTTAAATATTATACTCATCTAATAATCCAAGAAGGAGTGTTTTATTCTTGTCAACTATATGACTGTATATTATTGTATTTTCATTACAGGGGAATCATTATTTGTTGGATACCAATTTTCGTGGTTTTCGTGGGCACAGGTGAACAATGAATTTCAATGTTCTACAAATTACAAATTTTCTATCAGGTTGTATGCACACTTTGGCAAAACCATGAAATCACATATCCATTAAAAGGCAAAATTTCCTCAATCCATGAAAACTGGTACCCACGAAAATAAATGAATCCACTATATCTTTTTGGTATTTTGAAATTTATCTTTTAAAATGTTATGATGAACCTACTCATCAGACTGGCGAGACACAAGTCCTGGACATGAATTTTTTCTTTTTATAATTGTCTCTGACCTCATTGCTTTTCTGTTGATAAAGCAAGATATATATGTAGGACTAGGAAATGAAATTGGGACGCTGAAGTGGGATGGTCTATGCCGAAGTGTGAAGGTCCTTTCGCTGATCTGCGATTGGTCTGTAAGACACAGGACGGCTACTTAAAAATCTACAGGTGTCCAATTATTATATAAGAATTTGTTTTCCTTATTAGTTACTTTGTTAGTATTTAATTATAAATACCAACCATTCAATATTTTCTAAAATTTTAGTAAAAACCATCTTTGGTGATCTATCTTGTTCCTTCTTCTCATTCACAGCAGCCGTATTAATTTTTGGTGTATTTTGTTTCATTTGGACTAATCAGATAGTATTCACATTTCAAATAACTATCACATTTGTCATTCATTGCAATTAGTACTGGTTTTAAAGGAAAATAACCTATGTATGTAGTGTCAATATCTGAACGATTGAATGAACTACTGCTTTTTTGTCTTAAGCTATTTACAAAGTACATTACAATGTTACAGTCAGGACTGGAAATGCAATGACTAATATACATGACTGGTAACAGGTTATACTCTCGATGTTTTTCTTTTTAAAAAATTTTGAAAAGCTACTTCTAACAAACAAATTAACCTTTACATAGACATGTGAACATGTGAAAAAAAACATTGAAAATATGATTTATGTAATCCATCACACTTTGTCGTAGCTATCAACAACACAGCACCACAATTCCTCCATTGCACTTCAGCGTGATCAAAAATGCACTTCAGCATTAAACCATCACATCTCAGTGGGACAATCGCTGTTCTAAGTTCGATCACCGTTCAGAGGACCATTGCCGATCAGAGTACCATCGCCGTTCAGAGTCCTACATACAAATGTATGTACTACATACTAATGCAAATACCTAATATACCACAACTTCTTTGTGTTTCAACTTAACCAATTTTCATTGCAATTATAGTCAATTAGAACATCAGTTTGAAAATTTCTAATGTGTTTAAACAAAAATGTCTAAACAAGAACTCTAACTTGTAAATTTAATATAAGTGGAATATTGATTTCAAAATCTAACAGATGTCTGAACGATTCTTGATAAAATTTCTGCAAAACTATCTTTCGCAAGAAAACATGGCTACAGTTTCATGTCAGAGAAATTACAAGAATTCGGTTATTAAAGTCTCTATTATTTTTATGAATTTCAACACTTGAAGACACTAACCACTGTTCCTTTTATCAACTTCAGCCATAAACTGTGCCGAGTTGAGGTCCTGAAGGAGCTGGTCAAGCTCGGACAGGTTGTTGCTAATTGATGACATTTGTCTAGGTGCTGGTGATGATGTTGACCTCTCGGGATACGAATGACCTGAACTTCTAGATGTACTAGAACTTGGTGTCCTCTCTCTGGTAACACTTATCTGCTGACCTTCATACAATGGCTGAAAGTAGAATTTGAATGTTACTAAACTTCTGTTAATAAATTTAGAAATTATAAAGAAAGATGAATAATTAGAAAGGGTTGGTAAATTTCAATAAAACAGCAATCCAACAATAGAAGTTTTTCAAATATAGACATCTAGAGGTAACTTTACAATCTTCCATCATGGATACATGTGTCCACCAAATTAGATAGCTCTAAAATGCCAGGAGTCTAAACATTTTGTGAATGTCCTTTTTTCTGTTGTATCCTCAAGTATTTTGATTTTTGTTTATCTGAGTAGGAGTCAATACCTTCAATTGTTTCCCAGTCTTACATTGTACAGATTATATAATGGAAACATTATCTTGTTGACTGGTCACTAATACTATAATCAGGGCCTCCCACTTTTAAAACTATGTTAAGTGACAAGATAGTGTGTCAAAGGATTTTTAAACGTCTACTTTCTAAGGTTGATATCACTCTCAATCAAAACCATGCATCTATAGCTACTGATCAATTGCTTTGCCTGAGCAGTCAATTGTATTTAAAAAGTAAAATAACAAAAATACCGAACTCCAAGGGAAATTCAAAACGGAAAGTCCTTTATAAAATGGCAAAATCAAAAGCTCAAACACATCTAAGGAATGGAAAACAACTGTCATTTTCCTGACTTGGTACAGGCATTTCCTTATGTAGAAAATGGTGGATTAAACCTGGTTTTATAGCTAGCTAAACCTCTCACTTGTATGACAGTTGCATAGAATTCCATTATATTGACAACAATGTGTGAGCAAAACAAACAGACATAATAGGTAAAAACGTTCATTATAAACTGCTTTAATAAGTTACTGAGAAAGAAAATGTGAAGGTACGTGAAAGTCAGGTAAAGTTAGGTAAAAATCACAGTGCTCCATCTACAGGTAGGCAAAATTGATTCTAATACCCAACCTTACAGGTGTTTAAAATCAAATTTTAAAATGTTTGTAAAAAATGGGTAAACACTTGTATGGTTTTTGTTGTAACTTTCTCTAACCTTTGTGAGATGGCTGATTGTTGTCCATATTAGCAGAATTATACAAACAAATCTAAATTCTTACCTCTTCCTGTCAGTAAGAAATGAAATCATAATTTCCTTATAATTCAAATTTTTTGTTTTTCATTTCTTCCCCATATATTGTGATTAAAATCAGGATGAAAAGACTAAAATACAAATCGACCTAATCAAACAGGATACATTATTTATATCCTTCCTCAGGAAAAACATCAACGCTATGTTATTCATCTATGTAAATAACATGCATAGTGCATTTATTAACACAATATTTTGCATATAATGTTAACCTATATTTCCAAACTACCTGTATGTGCATATCATTCAGTCCTTGAAATCTTTACATAAGTTTTACCAAGAAAAACCTTAAAACTGAATTTACAGTCTGCACCATTAGCCACTAGTCCTATACCCCAGGCTAGAAAAATTTCATTCGGACTAGTTAAGAATTTGCAAATATTTGTTTAGACACATAGGAAATTGTTTGGATATTAGTCTTCGGACTAGTAGTAGGAAAAGATTTTGGTGCAGACTGAATTCATCCAGTATCCTCATTGAGGGGTCTGGGGCACATAACCATTACCTCCCTTAAAGTATCTTTCATAAGTTTAAGCCATATATATAGCTGCATCTTGAAACATTAACAACTATTATAGCTGACTATACGGTATGGGTTTTTCTCGTTGTTGAAGTGCGTATGGTTGCATATAATTGCTTACATTCACTTCATTTTAACTCTGGTGTATAGTTGTCTCATTGACAATCATACCACATCTAATTTTTTTTAGGTTTGGAAATCATACTTCAACCAATCTGTGACAGTTTATTGCTTGGTTTGGTTTGACATGTATGAGGGTCTGGATGGGGGGGGTCCTTCATTTCTGTATTCTTTAATTTTTTAGGCTATTTTTCTCTATTCTTTATACTTTTTGTCAATTATTCTCTTTCCTTTATATTTTAGCACCTCATTATTCTCTATTCTTTATTTTTTTGGTCCATTTTTTTCTATTCTTTATATTTTTTGGCCATTATTCTCTATTCTGTAAACCCCCATCAAGTATACCCTCATGTATTTTTCATGGTGTACTTTGTCACATCTTCATAGTGTAAATGAACAAAATGAATATACTAAGGGTCATATGTATAAATCAATTCATATCCCAAAATTTCTTTTTTGTCTGTAAATATGAGATATGTCATCTGGGCAAAACCGTGAATTTGTAAGAATTTGTCATCATTTGTAAAAGCATTATTTTTATGTCTTGTTTTTTTTTTCATATTATGCCTCTAGCTTACCCATAAAATTTCAAGAATGTGATACTAATTAATATTAATGATCTTAACCTCTTGTTTACAATGAGTTAGTCATTTTTTTCTCAAGTGCCCATAGCAGTCTCTGATAACACGTAGTAATATCTTCTTATTATAAAAATCAGGCGATGTGGTATGATTTCCAACCAGACATATATCCACCAGTGTTAAAATGATGTGGTAGTAAGCAATTATAGGCCACTGTTTGGCCTTCAACATTGAGAAAAACCCATACTATATAGTCACCTTTAAAAACATGATGTGAATGTAAAACAATTAAGTTTTTATTTTTTAAAACAAATTTGATCATAAATTTTGTTTGTATATTTTTGTCGAGCCTTCGACTTTTGTCGAAAAAGCGAGACATAGCGATCCTACAGTCCGTCGGCGTCGTCGTTGGCGGCGTCCACAAATATTCACTCTGTGGTTAAAGTTTTTGAAATTTTAATAACTTTCTTAAACTATCCTGGATGTCTACCAAACTTGGACAGAAGCTTGTTTATGATCATAAGATAATATTCAAATGTAAATTTTGTAAAAAAAAAATTCCATTTTTTCCGTATTTTACTTATAAATGGACTTAGTTTTTCTGCCAGGAAACATTACATTCACTCTGTGGTTAAAGTTTTTCAAATTTTAATAACTTTCTTAAACTATCCTGGATTTCTACCAAACTTGGACAGAAGCTTGTTTATGATCATAAGATAGTATCCAGAAATATTTTGTAAAAAAAAAATTCCATTTTTTCCGTATTTTACTTATAAATGGACTTAGTTTTTCTGCCAGTTAACATTACATTCACTCTGTGGTTAAAGTTTTTAAAATTTTAACAACTTTCTTAAACTATCCTGGATTTGTACCAAGCTTGGACAGAAGCTTGTTTGTGATTAAAAGCTAGTATCTAGAAGGAAATTTTGTTAACATTTTGTTCCATTTTTTCCATATTTTACTTATAAATGGACTTAGTTTTTCTTCCAATTAACATTACATACAGTCTGCAGTTTAAGTTTTTATAACATTTATTAGATTAATAAACTATCCTGGATTTTTACCAAACTTGGACAGAAGCTACTTACAATCAAAAGATAGTATAGAGAGGAATATTTTTATTAATTTTTTTCCTCATTTTTGTTGAGCCTGTGATTAACAGCAAAAGTAGGCGAGACACTGGGTTCCGCGGAACCCTTACGAATTTTTTAATAAGATTTAGTATAAAGCTACCGTTGGTACTCGAGTAAAAGTTGATCCAACTGTAAGTCGGATGACCATTTCAGCCTTACAATCTAAGGATTCAGTCAGCACCTTCTTCTCATTAGTATCCATGTTACCCAGTAGATCCAGACCACCTTATCAGAGGTAGAAATGTCCACCCTTAGTAGCGATTTTTAAATCTAATTCTGGTTCTAGGCTTCATGCTACATTCTTTTCTTTCATAGAATTTAAACCCTGTCAGCCCAGTGTACCTTGAGGAATTAGCCGATATCAATTACACTGTACATGCTATACAAGGAACTGGTCAAGAGCACCTAATCATTGATGGAAATGACCACTAAGTGAGTCTTCAATCCAGAACTGTTACGTGTTGATATACAATGGTTTAGATAAGTATAGAAGACTTAACCCAGATTACTCTCAGACTGTCAGAAATTCCCAATCCTTTTATTACCATGATTACAGATGATCATGAGGAATCTAATTTTGCTGATACATGTACAGTGTACATGTAGTCATAACACTTACTTCATGCTAAAAACTAAATAAACAGACCATGTATTTTCTATGCTACATGTAGTCCATACAAGGACTTATGGGTGAATGATAAATTCTTTGTTTTATTCCAATTAATGAGTTATACTGAAATCATTAAAAGTATCGGTGCATTTAGTTTGGTGGGGGTCAGTTTTCACATTAAAATCTAACAATTAGTCTTGAACGTAACATGCAGAAGACCCCTGTTTTAAAATTCAAAATTCACACCCCAAATGACCATGCATTAAAAAAAATAGCCAAAAGCTTTTATAATAGTTACAAGTTTGAATGGTCACCAAGTTCTAGGATTAAGATATGTGACATTAAACTTCTATTATCCAACCTAGATTATGATTTTTTTTCCACATTTGTTTCTTTCTTAAAACCTTTGATAGTTCAGACCAATAAGCAATTTCATGAATTTAGAGTTACCTTTCCTGTCTTCTCAGGTGATATAATCAATGATATGTGTGTTTTTTTTTTTAGAAAATAAATGTTTACCTTATAGAGAAAATATCTCGACCTTATATCACTCCAAACATGACATTTTTGTCACCGAAATAACGGAAAGTATTATTCATTTCCTATAATGAATCATTTGCCTGTCGACATTTTGTACTTATATATAATCTACTTTTGCAGTGCACGATCAGTTAAGTCTATATTAAGATATATTTGAACAATCCATACTTGACAAACTTAGCTGGGAGTCTGATGATATATTTCAAGCAATTTATGTATTTTTTTTTTGTTGTTGTTTAAATTCACCAACCTGTCTAAAAAATAAGCAACTTTGAAAAACTTTAAAATCCTTTGAAATAATCCCCTTTTCAAGTATCAGAGAAAGGTCAAGGTTCAATTCCTTCTGTAGGAATTTTAAAATCTTGTTCACCACAGAAATAGTCATAAAATAAGAAGATAAAGTGAAACTGCGAGCTACTGCTCACTGATGATACCCCCAGCCCAAATATGCATTTGTTGTTAAGTGATGAATCTGAAAACGCATCACACGGTATAGCTGACTTATATAAACCCTGAAAACAAATTTCAGAAATCCTTATGATGTAGTTCCTGAGAAAGATGCGACGAAAAATATTCATGGGATGGACGGACAGACAGAGGTAAACAGTATACCCCCGTTTTTTTAAAGCGGGGGTATAAAAAAACACTACATCACACTGACCCCTACCCTCGTTACATGAATAAGGTTTTCGCAGAAAGTTCTCAGGAAAATTTTATAATAATTTTTGGAGAAATTGGAGGCAACAACTGTTTACAAATGTTTAAATAAATCTCATAAATCTATTAAGAAGATACAAATCAAGGACAAAAATTAAAACTGAGGGAATTGTACATTCTCCAAAAAGGATTGAGACCAGTGATTCAGGTGTATGATTGATGATAGTTGGTTGCTTAATGTCCAGTGGCAAATATTTCATGCATGTTCAGGATGAGAACAAAGTAACAATAAGTACCACAGGTAGGTCTTGTAATTGAAGCCTTCCGGGATAAAGGTCTGGGAAATTTTTAACTTCCACTGGAAAATGAGGGTATATTGGATAATTTGTCCTTGCAACAGGCCATATACGGATGCCTCAAAGAGTTGTTGTAAGGGTTCTTAATGTGCAGAGAGCGTGGCATTCTCTCTACACCAGGCATCAGATTTAACGTCCCCATACTGACTGTACGTGGCCGCATACTTGATACATCCCAAACAGACAAATGGACGCCCTACTTTGGTTAGAGTTTTACTGCCATAGGAGGAAAAGCAAAGTGACCATATTTCTATTCCCCAGTCACCCTTGGGGGTTACAGGTGTATGACAGACAGGGTTAGCCAAACACTTTTTTTCATGTAAGTTCAGATCAGCAGGAAGATTGAAACAAGGAAACCTGTATACCTTAAACTGTTCATTAGAAGGAATGAGACATGTCGAGGGGGAGGGGGGGGAGGGGGGGAGGGGGGGGGGAACAAAACTTTGAAGCAAGACTAAGAAGGTCAAGGACTCAACATGAGTGACAAACAGCTGTAATTCATTCAAGTGCATTTCAAAAGTTAAACCAATCATTATCACTAAACAATCTACATTACACATGTATCTATGTTTTACAGAATACAATACTTGAATAACGATCATTATGCAGTTATCGTAATCATCACTAAGTGCAAAATGATTATAGATTCTATCATTGTTACTTGTTAAAACCTGAAATGTACATGTATATATATATAAACCATTAGTTAAATAGTAAATTTAAAAGGCTGGTGGAGAGACAGAAAATTTTGTTTTTGTTGATCCTGTTTAAAATCATCGGAAATTTTAACGATCCATAATAGTGCACCTATGAATGTGAAAGGTTTAGATTCCTGTGTTTTTAAATAGTTTGAGTTTTATAAAAGCAACAGATCATTGTAAACTGTGCAAAGTTACTGAAAAGTCATAATAGTAAGTCAGGTAGAGT